CTTTAGGATTGCATTTTGTGATAGAATCTCCTACCTGGCTTTCAGAGCAAACTATTTAATCTTTTTATGCTGTAGAAATGAAGACATTTCCAATCCCTTAGGGATTTTTGTAGTCTCAGAAAGCAGATTTATAATTTAAAATGAAATATTATATTCTTTTCATATCACATCTGAGGTGGACTGAGTCCTTTTTTTGGTCCTTCAAAACTAAACACAAAATAAAAACATACAAGCAGAGCCTTTTTTGTGTGCATATGTATGTAATTTCCTGCAAATGTAAGTGATCCCTAGTCATAGCTGGGCCCAAACCCAACTGGAAGACTGTGGCGATTATTCTTTCTGGTCCCTTTCAGACAGACCTGACTCATTTTCCCCAGAAAGGGGTAAGATAGGAGTAAGGTGGGAAAAATGTTTAACTTAAGGCCAGCATCATCTGCTGGGAGAATTAGGTATGGGCTGTTTGGGTGTGCTTGAATTTGATTTTTCATGTGTAAATACAGGTGGTTGGAGAAGGTACTAGAGAAACTTATTTATCTTCTTTCTATTAATTTGATTTTGTAGGAAGGATAAAAATATCAAACAAGATTTTTATTTGGGCTTCGACTCCAGTGGCGCTACAGTGATGTGTACAATACTGGCACTGTATTTTTGTAAATTGAAACCCTAACTGTGGCTTTATTATGAAGTTGCTATTTTCATTGTTAATTGATTTGATTAAATATCATCTAAGAAATGTATATTTAAGTAAATATACTTTCCTTTACCAAGAAAGTATGTGGCAGCTATGGTTAGCAGCAGAAAAACAAGTTCTGCCCTAATGTACAAACTGTGAAGGCCCGTTGCTTCATATTCTTCACTAGTACAGTTTAGAATAATTCACTAAGTTAATACTCTGGTGTTGTAAGGATGAAGCAATTGCTCGAGGAACCTGGAACCACAGTTCTGTGTGTACTAGATGACAATGTTCAGTGGATAACTGACTCAAAGCTGATACCGTATTAGCCCATCTCTTGGGCCTGTCCTCGATGCTACCTGCTATAAGAACCAAGATGTTGAGCATTCTTGAATTTAGCTGGGGGCAGAGACCTCCATTTTTCAGCGGTGCTTGTCGTGTCACAAGATCCTGCTTTGAATTCTCTGAGACTGCTTGGAGTCTTTCAGCTTACATCAGTTCTTTGGGTCAGGTCTGTGTATTAAAGCCCTCATGTTTGAACATGAAACCAGTCCAGCTAAACTTTATATGTGGCCTCCATTATTATTATTATTGTTATTATTGTTATTATTATTATTGTTTTATAATATACACCAACTTCTTGACTAAACATTGTCAATCATCTCTGCAGTGGCCCATCTTGTGTTTTAGATAATATGAAATGGGAATGAGAAGCTTTCCGCGTAGAAGCCCCTGAATCTAGTTCGACTTTCTTTCATGACAGACACTTAGAGAAAAGTGATATTAATTCTACATGTTGCATTTTAACAGTGAATACATTTTCATTAATCATAATGAAAGTTAAAACTGTGTATTGCTGAGAAGTTGTGCTCGTGTAAGAAAGCCACCGCTCTTTCAGATTAGCTCTGGATGGAAGCTCGCAGAAGCTTCTGATGGAGAAATGAAGCTGCTGGGATGAAACTCTGTGCAGATTCTTTGCTCTTTTGTCCCAATAAAGAATTTACATTTATTAAAACCAGGGGCCTCAGGTTGGAGGTACAGCATATGCTGTGACAGTTTTTGTCTTACCTTTGTTTTGTGACTTCTCTCTAATTAGTTTATGTTCCAATAAATCCTTAATACAAGGACTGTTTTAAACACAATTGAAAGCAAAACAAAAAGAGGAGTTTAAATTGCTTATGGCTTGCTTTGTATGGCTTCCAGGCATTTGAGCAATTTTGCTAACAAGTATCCTGTAACCTATTTCCAAAGGCCACTAGCAGATAATTATATTTAGTTAATTTACATACTTTCAGTTTATAATCCTAATTAGTTCTCCAACCAGTAGTCCCTAGGCGATATGTAGTCTTACCTCATTTTATTTGCCATCCCTAATGTGCAAGTTTTCTTCTTTTAATTTACAAAAAAATGCTGTTAGGTTTGGTTCAGGGCTTTCCCATTTCAGTGCATATCTGAACTGGGTGATTCCATGCCGATTTAAACCCTGCTTGCAAGTAAGTATTTTACATTTTTATAGGTCATTCTTTGTTCTGTCTAGGAGATATTCTGCAATTTAAAGAAACTGACCTAGGTTTGACACAGAGCCTATTTCTATTATAAACATATCGGGCCAAATTCTGCACCAACCTGTATCCAAGGGATCCTGTAAATCTCTGGTTACCCAAAGGTATGCATTGGCATAGACTGCGGAGTGAAGTGTGAGGTCTGTGACAGTGTCGTGCTGCTACTATGGCAAAGCCCCAGACAGAGCTGTGTGGCAGTAAGAATGAATAAAGGTTGCGTGAGGATGTCTTGCAAACTGAGGACAGCCTCTGTAAGGAGACTGGTAAGATCTCCGGGCTGCTGGCCATAGCTTGTTCCTCCTTCACCTATCTAGGATTCTCTCCTGTACATACTGTTCTGAGCCCTCATCACCCATGCCTTAGATTACATTCAATAAAGTGGCCAGAGAGGAACGGGGAAAAAAAGGAGGATGAATATGAAGACTGCTGCTTTCAGGTGTAAATGAGAAACACTCCTTTAGCTCCTTCCAGCTTCAAATAAACTTCAAAAAATACTTGGAATGAGCCTTGTTGTTGGAAGGAGCAGGTCTGTGAGTGCTGATCCCTGCAGAAGTCTGAGTAACTGAGATTGAAGAGAAGGGTCAGTGTTTTCCTGCAGGGTAGGACCATGTGCCCTGGCTCTGAGGATGGCTTTGGTGCCCTGAGGTGGTGCTCAGCAGGTGGGAGGCCTCAGGTTTCAGGAAAAGCCTAAAGTAAGACAGGAGACAATCTCCACTGCTGCGTGGAGATTTCTTGCATGAGATGTCTGTAGGCAGCTAGAATGATAATTTTGGTTGTTACCTTATAAGCACTGTAGGTACTATAATACAGTTTATAGAAGAGCTGTTGGATGAAACATTTCTTAGGCATCAAAGACTACTTTCTGGTCTGATTCATTCCACTGTAATGAGGTCAGTTTGGACTAACACTGTGATAATTTCCAATATTTCTTTGCCAGCAATAAAAAGAACAGAAATCTTCCTTTTCACCACTACATTAGGTAAAAATAAGGTGTGTGATAAGATAGCTAACTGCGCAAGGAGAAGCAAAATCTGCAGTTTGCATAACTTTTGCTTGGCTTTATGGGCTAACTGATGGGTTCTGTGAGCTGATGTTAGTTCATAAATCATAATACTAAAGACGACAAGTGATTTTTAAATGAAAAAATAGCAACAAATGTTTAGTGATGAAAAACTCAAAAGTGAGAGAATAATTCTTGGCCAATAATTTTATTTCAAAATCTTAAAAGAATTTAAGTTTTATACTGTTGATGCTTTGTAGTGTCTGCACATCACACTAGTTCCCAAATTATGTTTATGATGATATACGCATGCATATGATGCTAAGCATTTATATTGTTGATCTCTTAAGGAACCATTATCTGTGAAGTTATTCCAAAGGAGCCTATCTTTATCAGGTACACCTTGATTATAATTTTTCCTCATTAGAGCATTTCAAATCCTACTCCAGAATTTCCAGGTGGAATAAAAGATAGCTTAAATGTTTTTTCATGCCTGGTTTATGGATTACATTTCCACACTAGCCTACGCTCTGCCTGTGCATCTAGATTTTTGAACTTTATCAGCGGCAATATTACGACATGGCTCACATGCCTATAGTTGGGATGAACACAACACAAAAATCAGTGAAGCAGGTTTAAGACAGAGATAGCAAGCATCTTAATTCAAGCCACAGTGTTGTGAAAATCGTACGTTACGTGTTTCCTACTTGTACCACTGTTGAGATGGTAATTGTTTGTAATATGTCAGGTGAAATCCTGGCTCTGTCAAGTCAATAGAAAATATCTCAAAGGCTTCAGTAGGGCTAGGGTTTTATCCCGGGGAAAATATTGCTTAAAGATAAATTTACAGAAGTTTATTGACATGAGTCAGATTTCAAGGGGCAGTGACAATTTCCATCAGCTGAAGATTCATTTCCCAGTATGTAACAAGGTTTTCTGTGGAATATGGCAGATATATGCTTAATGCTAATTCATTGCAAATCCACAAATGGATGTGAAGAAATGAACGAATGTTTGCTTCTTGGTAACAGACAGAATAGGCCCCGAGGTGCTGTTAAATCTCTCCCCTTCCAGCTTTTCACTTTTATCTATATTAAGATTATAAGTTTGGCTAATCCGGAAGGAAAATTTAGAAGGATTTGGGAGTGAGATTTTTGTGGGGGTAAGGAAAAAGGGAGAGGGGATGAAGAATTTGGAATCTATTCATAGTGAGTCTACGTCACTATTTATCCAGCATAGTATTCCAATTTAAACCTGAACGCTTAATTTGAAATAGAAAACACGAAAATGAGGGAGATGTCTGTCTTGCATTCACTTTTTATCCTTTTCACCATCAGTTTTGTTCTATTTTACTTATTTATTTATTTATTTATTGGATTGTAAACTAACACTGCACTTGTAGCTCAGATTTATATATCACTTAGAAACCATAAACCAGCAAAAAGGAGAGTGGAAGACCTATTTCATTCTCATTTACAGGTCATCTTATATGCATTGTGAGATGAAGTAAGATATTCATTGTTTGATTCTGCTCTTCATACTTTTGGTGCTTTTCTCTTGCCTCTTCCTTCCATTTCTCCTCCCCCCTCCCAAAAAACCCTGCAGTCTAGACTCCCCCTCCCCCCAGAGTCTTGATGCCAATTTTCATGTTATTTTTGACCTCCAGTAGGATGTCCAGTCATTCCTTCAGCAACTGAGCTATTCTCTAGAAATGAATATAGTAAGTAGTGAAACCAGAAGGGAGTCAGAAGAATTTAAAATTGTCTGAAATATAAAACAATAATTTATTTTACTTCATTTTACTTGTTAATGTTTGTAGCTAATGATGATTTCATGAAACTGCTTTTATAATTCAATACATTCAAATCTATAAAGCAAACAGTTACTACCATGGGCATTTCAAATTACACAAACTGTCTTATATAAACAAATTAGCTGTACATGCACATTTTTTCAATAGGTTGCAACATTTGCAAGCATGCTTTAAAATCCTTTAAAGCTGCAGTATACTGTACTTTGCTTCAGGCTTTTGAGATGAAACCTACATACTTCCTTTAAAAACCTTTAAAAAGAAAAATGTTTAAATGTTGATCATAACTCTAAAGATTGCTGTTTGATACATGTTAAGTATTGGAAGAGAATGACTCTATCAGGAATTCAATAATTCTGAGCTTAAACCTTGAGCTAAATATCGATAAACAGCACTCTGTGTAGAAGTGAACAACAGCAAAGTAATATCACAAAATATGGTTTCACAAAAAAATACATATGTGCGGTTGCTCTTGTGGGTTTTTTGCTTTTTTCAGGCAAAGAAAAGCATGTGTACTTTTTTTTATACGAATATAGTTTAAGCAAATTACCTGTGTAAGTATGGTTAATACATTTCTGATATTTAAACACTTTATGTAAAAGGTAACAAGTAAAAAAGTACAATCAGTATTCCAAAAAGCTCTGCTAATATTGCCTTTGAAGGAGATGTTCAGGCTTTCTCTCCACTTTATAATAGAGATCCTGGCACCCACAGTTGTAGAGTTCAGTATTTGAACTATAAACTTGATGACTGTATCTTATATACAAAAAAACTTGCCACATTGAACGAGGCATTGATTTCTACCCCAATGGTAGCGTTTTATGTACATAATTTAGCAATGGGTGATTATACAGTAGTCACTGACAGGAAAGAATTGTACACTCGTGTGCCGTCTGGTGACTTTGTTCCATGGGTTAACAGTTCTTGGATTGTCATCCAATTGTCAAATATTTTTTTATTTCTTTTCTTCATCATTTTTTTGTGGCTCAGTTCAATGATATTCATCTCTTTCTTTTCTTCTGCACCTTGCTGTTCCTTTAAACAATCTAACCTGCTCTGCATCATAAACTCACGCCTTCTCCTCTGCTCCTTTGCTTTCACTAAATGCTGCTTCCGCTCTTCCTTACTCCAGTAACGGCCCATCTTCATTTCACTTATGGCATCATCATCCGTTGTCATACCGCTGCGCTCCTCCTTAATCTTTATGGCACGTTCTCTCAGCAACCTGTCCCTGACTGGCCTCTTTGTAATGTAGCGGGTCCCATCACTTCTGACCTTGACTTTCCATTCCATCCTTGGTTCGCTCTGGCTTGAGTTAAAGTCTTTGCACATGCTCACCAGGCTCATTTGGCTCTGTGCATATTCCACAGCTGACTTCTGTTGGATCAGCTGCATGTAGCTCTGATAGTGCTGTGCGTGGGCAGGGATGTGAGCATGCTTATACGGAGAGTGATGGTATGGGGAGACATAGGAGCCAGAAGCTTTTTGACCATGAGTCGGGCTTTTGTTTCCATCACTGGCTTTTCTGTCTTTGCTTTCCAGCTGCTTGCTGAGGTCAGGATCTTTAGGAGAGGAATGGCATTTACCCACACTGGATTCATGACTCTCTGAGCTAGGAAATAAATTCTTTTGGGAGGCATTATGTGCCACTGCCCCCTCATTCCCTTGACAGTTAATGCCTTCTGCAGTTCTGCGCAGTGAATTGTCAGGGGAAATCTCCAGTGTGAGTGGTGTGCTTCGGCAGCTTTCTCCTGTGTTATATGCGCTTGAGCTATCCTTGTCAGACTTCTCGGGGAGCTCTGTGATATCTGAGAGCTCGTGCCTGCGAACATCGATGCTTGTATTATAGTTGCGGAACCCACTGTTATGTAGCATCCAAGGCTCCCGGTACTGCTCCTTCAGCTGCTGCATTTTATGGGCTCTCACAATATTCAGGCACTCGAGCTCGATATTGCGCAGCTCCTCATTCAGCATCTCCAACTCTCTGTCAACGCTCTCTTGGTCGCTTTTGCTCATATCCAGAGTGCTGTTCTGATAATACAGATTGTAAGGGTTGGCAGACTTCACTTGGCACTTCAGTTCCAGCAGTTCCCGGAACCGCTCGCATTCGTCTACAGGGATTCCAAGGAAGTCAACGTCTGTGCAGTCGGCTGAGATGAACGACTCATTGCTGAACTGCATATCACCACTTCCTAGGGTGTCATGGCTGTATGTCAGCTTCTTCTGGCTCCCTAAAGTGTTAGAGGAAGTGGTGTGATCATCTGCGTTGTTTTCCTGTTCTGAGCTTTCATCATTCCGAGTGCTGTCATCCGTGCGCCCTACGCCACTGTCCTTCTCGTGCTGGTTAGATAAAATAGTAGCTGTATCTGTGGTACCTCCATCTTCCTCATGCTTCTTCTAACAGCAGAAATCAAAACAAACAGACAGATATTATTTCAAGAATATAAAATAGCTCAGGGCATTTATTTAAAAGTTTTCTTAATCTGTTACCTATTATGTTGTCTGCCTCTTTGTCTTGTACTTATTTAGAAAGAAAGCTTTATATTGTTAAGAATGCATAAGAGTGGTTACTGAAAACACAGCATACTATGGATGACCTTTTCAGAAGAACCTGGGGTCTGCTTTTCAGTTATATAGCAACAGTGTTAGAAATCAGATTTCCAAAATGTTTCTCCTCCCACTTCTAAGTGAAAATACATCTTTTCAAAACGTGTGGCTTCCACAGAGCATGTGCAATTTGAAAACACTAGACAAAAATCAAAAAACTATTCATGAACTTATATGATTGCATTGATTGTGGCAGAACAATAGGGAAGCCTGGTCCATATTTGTAGCTGTGCATGCACTTCACTGTGCGAAAACTTTTTTTGCCTTTTTCCTCATATATAAATCTCATTTCCCTCAGTTCCCTGAGTTGTCCATTGATGTTTTAATGTTTTGGAAGGCAGGCTGTTTTCACTACATGTGTGCATATCAAATAGGATATTTTAGAAGCTAGCCTCCTGCCTGCCTTATCTGCCATATACCTCTCTTGTACTTCTCTCAGGGACCACAGTGAGAATGGTGGATTCCTAAGAACTCACATTGTAATGGGGGGTGAGGGGGCAGGAAGAGGGGAAATTAAAAAGGTAACATTTTAAAATGCTTTGGTCCCTGAGATGAAGTTTTCTGTGTGGTCTATGGACAGAGTCATGTAGTATCCTGATTTTTCATACAGTCTTTTTGCCTTGATCGTCATTCAGGACACTAAGTTTATTCAGTCAAGCTCAATATTGGAATATTGAGTGCAATGTGATGTTTTGACACCATTGCACAACGATATGGCAGTACCTGCTGAAGCATGCTGGCAGTAAATTGCATTGCCTGGTGGTGCTGTTCCTCTAACATGTCCATGTGCAAGTCATCCAGAAAATCATTTCTATCATCATCCATCCATCCTTCATCCAGCTATGTGACAAGGGAGGGAAAAACAAACAAAACGTTGTCAAAAGAATGAAGACTGACATAAATTACACTCCTTTGTGAAAAGTGACCAGGAGATCTTAGGAGGTTCCTGCTTCTATGACAGTGTGGCAGTGTCCTGGGAAGAAGCACACATCTCCTCTAAGAGTGAGTATTGACTGTTTTATACCTCCCTTTCCCCCCATCCATACAGATGCAGATCTCCAATAGCACAGTTAGCAACCCTTCTGAACAAAACTTCTTGCTTCAATAGTCCCTCATATAAACTAAAAATAGCACTTTTATCCATGGAAATACTCTAAGAGTTGGAACTAATTTGGTTTGTGTGCAATTTTATTAGTATATATAAAATTACTCGAGAGGCTGAAGCTTGAACACACCACTTGGCTTAGGTGGTATGGCAGCATAAAGGGCTAGAAGGGAAAAATGCTTGCTCTGGGTCTGTGAGAGCGATCTTTTTACCCCAGACCTCAGTCATCTCTCCAGGGGAAGATCAGAAACATCCAGGCTGATTGTGAACTGGACCCTGTCTCTCCAAGAGCATTGGCAAAGGATGCTCGCATAGCTCAGGAAGCAAGAGACAAATCAAAGAGTGCTCATGGCTGTTGGTCATGCCATGCTCATTAGGTAACGTCTCGGTCATGCTAATCCCTCTTCTACAAGAAAAGGGTTGGGATCTAGTTCAACCCTCTGTTATAGCTGAGGATGCTTATTGATAGTATTTAATCACGTTTAGAGATGGTGTATAAAGGCCTAAATAATAGGTGTTTCTATGAATGATTAATCAATAGCTATAAGAATTAGAGCTCAGTATGCTGGTTATAGCTATGGCTTGAAACCATCCATAATACCTTGCACTGATGCTTGTAATAGGATTACAGAATATATTAATCACTGAACTTCTTATAAATTGAACTTTAATATAAAATGTGGTAAAAGTATCATGATTGCTGAATTCATTATTTCAGACCATACGTATGTCCTGTCAAACTGGGTAATATGGTTTTAGGTAGATAAAATTATTCAAAAAGTGGTTGTAACTTCCTAAAAAATAGCAACTCTATTTGATTTAAAACTTAAGAGAATCTTTTTATTGTCGTTGCTACACTACCTGAATTTCTGGTCTTGCAACAAGTAAGGAGATATTCTTGCTGTCTTCGCTGGTGAGAAGGGCCACAGCTTCTTCTCTGTTCTGTACCTCTATGCCATTAATCTTTAAAGAAAAGAGCAACAAAATGAAATCTGTTCATGTGGATACTTCTGTCATAATGGGCTCTACAGAACTGTGTGGTTGGATAGATCCCAGTGCAGTACAGACCAGGCATAGTCCCCATTCAAAACTACAGCAGTGGTGTTTAGTTTAGTGTTGGACGCATTTGTGGGTTTGGACAAGTGTAACTATTCCCAATTTGTGGTGGTGACAGGCAGGGTTATAAAGGAGGAACCTTGTTATGAGAACAGAAACTAGAGAAGGAGAGTTGGGCAAGAGCGGAATCGTAACATCAGCTCTGGTGGATGGGAGGGAATGTCCTTGTATGGGACAAGCGATGACGGGAACGTTCTTCCCAAAATCTAAATGGGATGGGGGTCTCTACTCATGTTTGTCTCTGTGCAGTAGATAGATCACTTCTAACAACAACAACAAAAACCCTACAGTGTAGGATTGCACTTGG